GCTTGATTGCATCTTAGTATTGGTTATTAAGACCTCTGTATCTCATTTCCTATGATTAATATATTTACAGAAAAGGGTTTAGCTAGAGAAAAACTAGAGGCATAGGTATGGAGTGTGGGACACCTTATTTTTGTTAGATGTTAAATGTTTGGTTAATTTATATTTTTTTAATCTCGGACATATTTTTTTATATGTGAATATGTAACTTCATGTTTTGAATAACTTGTAATTGATTACCATGAAATTAATTTTGGACACTCATGGTCTTGTTTTGAGATGATAGAAGTATTTGAGGAGCATGAAATTATTTTATGAAAAGTTTTGCCATCTATTCACTTATAATTGTGTTAAGTGGTTGTAATTCAAATATGAAGATTTTTTGTGTATGAGTAATTAATTGAGTTGTTTTGACTTGTTCAAGTTATGGTCAAGTATTCACATATTAATTGGATTTTGTAAGGGAAATTGTTCATAAAGTGAGTTTATGACCCATGATGGGCTTTTCTGGATAAAATTGTCATATGAAATTATTTTTGTACCAAATCAAAGCCAAGAGCTAGATTTTGTCATATATGTCATGTGGACACTTGAATCACTCCATTTAAATATTTTGAGGAAATGGTATGTCATTTTGAGCCAAATTGTCCCTTGGAAATCTGATCTCTTATTGTTTCTAATTTATTACTATGCTTGGATTTTAACTCTTGTTTTAGGAATGGAATCCCATTTGATACATCTTTATTATTTTAGCAAACTCCTTAATTACCATGCTAGATTAATTTTATTATATTTAATTTTTTTTACCATGGTAGCTAGTTTAGAAAATTGTTTTATTTATTTAAGAAAAGTATTTTTTTTAACATGGTAAACCTTTATAAAGTTGACTTGTTTTTTAGTCATCATGATCAACTCTTTTCTACCATGACAATGTTTTAAAATAATTATTTATTATTCTTTTTACCATGGCAAGCTTTTTATTAGTATAGTACAATTTTGAGAAAATATCATGTGTTTTTCCTACCATGGTAAACACTTTTCTACAATGGTAAATGTTTTAAAAAGGTTGTGTTTGTGAGTTAATTATCAAATGTGTTGGAATAAATCAATTTTAAAAGGCAGAGTGTTATAGGTAAGTCTTTTCCATTGCAACCAACTCATTCATCAAGTAAGTGTATCTCACTTGCATCTTCTAGATGTTTTTCTCCAGCTTTCATCTTGAAGAGCTCATACTCTTTGGTTAGAATACTTATCTTGTTTTCTTTAATACCTTTTATGCCTTCATGAGCAATCTTCAAAACTTTCCACATCTCTTTGGCTATGTCTAAATTGTACACACGAAAGTATTTTTGTTAGTTCAATGCACTTGCAATTATCAGGTTGACCTTGGAGTTGAGTGACATTAGCTTCTACTTTTTCTCACTCAACTCATCTTTGTTTTCAAGAACCATATTTTCATCTTTTTCTTTCATGGGGTAACAAGGATCTCTCTTGATGATGCCCCATAAATCTAAATCAGATGCTTGAAAGAACAATCTCATCTTACTCCTCAAGAATGTATAGTTTTCATTGTTAAATTTTGGAGAGCTATTAATCTTGGCATCTTTAGGAAGAATACTGTTAATAAAATCAATCATTTGGATCTTCTAAGATTATTAAGTCAGGATTTGTAGAAACTAGGCTCTGATACCAAATATTAGATAAGTTGGTCACTTAAAGGAGAGTGAATTAAGTGTTTTTATAAATTTTTTAAAATATTTTCCACTCAAAAAACAGAGTTGAAAACAAAACAAAATTTGACTCGAGGAGCTTTTTAACACAAATGAAGTGTAGGGAAGAAGAAGCTTGACACGAGATTTATATTGGTTCATCCCAACAACTTAGTTTATGTCCACTCCTCAAGATTACATTTGAGATTTCACTTAAAATGTAAGATTTAAAGAGTGATTGCTACCATAGTACAGTCACAAGATTATACCAGTTTTGATTTCCCTTTATAAGAACTTACAAACCTTATAAGCAATTAATTTCTTACATACTCAATCCACTGAGGTTCTATTTCTAATGCGAGGATTATTCTAACCATTAGAGATCTCAACTAGCCATTTGAAGCTATTGCTTTACGTGTCTAAGAGTAGAAGTTTAGCTAAAGGACTTTTTCTATGAAATGCATTAAATGCTTTGTCAAAAACCAGAACTCGCATGGGTCAACCTAACCAACGCAATGATGAGTAGCTTAGATACATTAAAAGGGAGGTTATGGCAAGAACACATGTTGGCACAATTCAAACAACATGAGGATGATTCAGGTAGAAGCACAAGCTTCTCAAGAACTCTAGAACTCATGTGGGTACAATTTAGACCATATGAGGAACAAGTTCAAGAAATGGAAGACTTCTTGAACACATTTAAAATCTATGAGCATGTGTGTAAGTCTAAGACTTGTCTCTCAAAACATTTTACCATGCATATACTAGCTCTCATGATTCAAGGTTTTTAACAAAAGGTCAAAGAAACATAATATAAAAACGATAAGTCTAATCTTCTCTTGATCTTGAACATTTGCTCTCTTTGAATGATTTTGTCATGAATAAATATATAATCTGTATAAACAAAACCTTACTTGATTTTTGTTATCATTAAAACAAAAAATATCCAAACATAAATTTCTAAGTAGATTATTTCTATTATAGTGGGTCTACTACTTATATCTAGTTTGTCTCTTTTCTATTGTGATAGGTATTCTACCATCTTGGTTTATTTATTTATATCATGGTAGACTCTTTTTTACTATAGTAGGATATTTTTTTCTAATATTTCATATATATAAGTTAAAATTTTTCAACCATAATAGACCTTTGACCGTAGATTGTTTCTTTTCTACTATGGTTGACTTATTTTAACTATATTTAAACTTTTTTTTACCATGATAATCCTTATTATGATTAGTTGTCTTCTAATTTCCATGGTAATATGTCAATCATGGTTTTGTGCGGTTAAGTAAAGAGGAATTTTACATCCACCAACCATCTATACCAATCACAAAGCTTCTTTCCCTCCATTACAACCAAACTTCGCCATCTACTTCTTCCTCCGCCATTATTCCCTTGTGTGAATTCTTGTCCATATTCCAGCATGCGCACCACTTTGGATGATTTTGAAGGAGCTTTGGAGATGGCAATATATTCATGGCTAAGTTCGTGTGGTTCCAAAGAGTAAGTGGCATTGCATGACTTCTTAAACTTCAAGGGGATAAGCCTATCTCCAAGTCTAACTCTTTCATCTTTTTCTTACAATTTATTTAATTCAATTGTTGAATTGGATTATTGCTGGAATGTTTACCTTGTTGGACATCTTTTATAGATGGATTACTTTGCATTTTGACTATTGGATGTGGAATTGTAGCTGGATATTTCAAATAGATTTGAATTTTCCAATATTTGAGCCCTTGATCTTTATTATTTAATCCATACACTTGGCTAGTTGTCTTTGTGCATCTTGGATAAACTAATTTAATTTTAATTAAATGATTAACTTTAAATATGTCATTAATTAGTACTGGTTCCATAATTCAATAATCCAATTTGCACATTGTTTAATTTTATCCAGGTAAATTAATTCTCAATTTAATTGCTAGGAATCAAGGAATTAAGTTGGTGTTGAGTTTGCCATAATTTTATTAATCAAAACCCGTGAGAATTAAACTTTGGCTGATTCATATTTGTTTGGCAACGAATACAACTCACTATTGGACAAGGAAGTTACCATTCATGCACTTGCTTTCATCAAAATTTAGGGGAAAAAAATCATAAACAATAGTTAGGTGTTTTTTTTTCCAATTAGATAATCTAATCACATCAATTCTTTGTTGTTTTATTACATTAAATAATCATTCTTGGGTTAACGTCAATTCAATTCGTTGGAAAGTATAATCTAAGTTGTATCCGATACACAAGATCAGAGCCTAGTTAATTTGAGGCAGGTACAACTTAGCCTTATTGAAGTGTTATTGAACCTTAGGAAGAGGGACGTATCCAGAAACAACTCTATAGGGGGGCCAAAATACAAAATTATATAATAGTGGGGGAAAGGTTAGTTTTAACATTTTTCATAAGTAAAAATAAAACAATTTCTTTAAAAAATTTGTGGCGTGGCCCCTGTGAATCCTGTGAATCCGCCACTGCTTAGGAACATTTCCATTTGTTGTCCAACTTCAAAAGCAACATCAGCGTGCATGATAACTCATCAGAAAACCAAGAGTTTGGACCCAAAAAGCCATAAAATTGATGCAAGCTTGTAATAAAGGAGTATGCGATTGCCATGCAGAAAAAAAACTAAAGGATGTCCTCATAGCATCTAAGGTCCATGAAATATAATATAAATCAAAATTTCATTTGGTTACTAAAATAAAATAAAAAAAATTAAAATAAAGATGAATTAAATCGCCCTTTCCTTTTATAATAAACATGATAAAATTCATAAAAATATATTATAAATAAAAAAATCATTATACTTTTAAAAATCCTATGAATCATGATTCTAATCCTATAAACTAATTATTCCTCTTTTTTATGATTGTAGTTTATCTATTTTTTTTATTATTTTATTTTTGTCTTTATTTTTTTGATCCATTCCATTTCAATCCTTTCTAATAATCAAATGGGCCCCAAGTCTGTTAGTTTCTGAAAATAAAGCACAAGGTAGCGTTGAAAGTTGAAACTGTTGAACGAGACAGATCCTTTGAGGGTCTAGAGTTTGATTGTTGAGGATTTGGAGCTTGGATGCATGAATGGTTCGCCTACCCACAATCCTCATAAAAGCATAATGATTGCAGCAAGAAAAAAAGAGAAATCATATTAACAGAGAAAGATAACCGAAAAGCGAAAAGAACACAACTAATAAGAAGAAACCAGCAGAAAAAAACGCATAACCTAGGAAACACCCAACTTGAGTAGGAAAACAAGGCAGATGACAATGACAACCACGGGCCAGAAGAACCCCAATGACATAGACACGAGAGAGAGTACTCTCCTCCTCTTTATTTTCAATGACCATTCATATCGTATTTGAAAATCTTGAAAAACTATTGGAAGAGATTTCAATAATTAAATTACATCATCTATATGAATTAAAATAACAAAAGCCCAATTGGACGGCATTCACATCATAGCTGAAAACCATGGAAACTCAGTGGAAAGGCCACCTGAGCTCCCGTTATTTTAATTACGATGTGAAACTTTCAGAGTCAGGCACCACCTAGAATAATGCTTACTGTGAAACTACTGAAACAATGATTTTGGTAGAAACAGGTGGTTTCAAATGCAAAACCAAACACGTTTAGTTGTCTGTCAAAACTCCATTTCTAAGCATACTATATCTACAAGATTATTCTCTACTGCTTTCACATGATATCTTTTATATCACTAAGCATCATTGTTAGGTCTTGAAGCTTTGGCAGGTTCTACGAAAATCAGCCTTCCATCAATTATCTGCATCAGGCATTAAAAAAGATTAATGCCCTTTTAATTAATCAGTTCTACAAAGCAACAAGCACGGATTCCATGTTAATAATATACTTTTTCAGATCCAATGATAAAAATAAGATATGCAATATATAGAAGATATACAAGACATATAAACAGGGACTTCGTTGCGGATGATCATATTTTTGCAAGCATGAGAAAGCAAGAAAGGAAGTGAGAATGGTCCGAACCTGTTCATCAATACTCGAAAGGTGCAATCTTGATGTGTGTATGTGCTAATAGTGTGTGTTAATAACATCAGAGTTCAATAAACAATGCTATACAAATGCTTATTCTGAACATTTTATTGACTATTTCATAAGCCATGATGTGGGCCATAATAAAGTTCATAAAGAAGTCCGACCATTATAGGGGGCCACTCCACCACGAGTATATATCTGATATGAATTTCATGTTATTTCACTGATAATACCATGTCATTCTAGCTTTCATGTTATATGTGTCCATATATATATATATATGTATGTATGTATGTATGTATGTATGTATGTATTATAAACCTTGGTGAGAGATCAGGGCATTCTCAATGCTTTCATTATGATTTTTTTCATAGACCCTACCTACCCAGTATAGCATAGTTAAAGATCAATATGCTTTAATCTCTCAAAGGAAACATACATTTTATGTCTATCCATATGATTTCACTTGACCTCCCCTTGACACCGTTAATTAAGGACATCAAGACCCTTCTCTGTACTAAGCAGCACCCAGAGGAGGATGACATTGAGAACTGGCACCAACTTGCCATTGTAATTTTATCAATTTTCCAACAGCCAAAAAGAGCACACGCATTGGTATTATACAAGACCAAGTCAGACTGTCAGAGAAGTTAAATTAGAAAACTGATTGATTTTAAACCTAAATGAATGAGATTTCTTATTTCAATCAAAAATAATAACAATAAGCTTATAATATCATCTACGCAATTGTGTTTATATCAATTAATTTAAAGCTAGTCATACTGATAAATCCACTTTCAGTCGTTACTAGGAGAAACGCACAATAATATTTAGTCAAAAGTTATTCTTGCAGCACCTAAATTTGCTGTTGAACATTTTTCTTTATAGTCAATCAAATAAATAAGCTTCTAGAGTTTCTTCAACGAATTCATATTTCAACCTGATACTCAGAGATTTAGAGTCTTACCCTGCCATTCATGGCGTTCATAGCCTTCTCTGCTTCAATTTCTGACTCGTAGGAGACAAAGCCAAATCCTTTGGGCCTTTGAGTTTTTGGGTCCATCACTAGAAAAGCTGAAAAACGGAACATTGAGATCAGCAATAGGGGGAATATACAAGGTCCAATAAGAGAAAACAATAGAGGAACAAAACCTTCTGTAATTATTCCGAATGGGGAAAAAAGATTTCTGAGGTGGCTATCTGTTGTGAAGAACGATAATCCTAGAGAATAAGAGATTCAAAGATTAGGGCTTCTGAATGATTCCAATATATAGAGGTTCAGTAAGAAAGAGGGAGAAAGAGAACGAACTGCTCACAAAGAGTCGAGTACCGATTCCTTGAACCATCTCAAATTCTCGGAAAGAGAACCTGTTGGTGCTTCGGGAGGCGCCGCTGGGGAGGATTGGAATTTGAAGCATCTAAATATTATTAGAGAGAATTACATGAAACAAACAAAAAAAGTTAATTATTATAAAATTTATTAACAATTAAATTAAAACTATTGATAACATAATCATTTGTTAATGACATTTATTCAATTATCAGTTAAACATATAATAATTAATTTTTTACGTGAAATTTTAATATAATTCACTCATATTATTAATATTATTAACTTTTTTTTACCAATATATTTTAGGAAGAATTAAATTCAAAAATCACTTAAGAAAATAATTCACAGCCAAATATCATTAAAAAATGAATTATTGTTAAAATAGAAATGTGCCTTATTTTTTTCCTAATAAAACTTGTTGTTCTAAATAATTTGCTTGAATAGTTTTAGAATTTGATTCTCCCTATATTTTATTTATTAAAAAAATAATAATAAAATCTCACTGAAATACATAAATGACAATAAGATCTTTTAAAATATCATAATTTCTCTGAAATTCCTAAGCACCTTTTTTACATTAATAATTTTAAGTTAAATGACTAAATTGCCCCTTGTTTAAAATAAAAAATAATAATGGGTTCATGTGTGAAGTTATTATTTCTTATTCAATTCTTACGATACAAAGTTGAAATAAATTGCTTAAATAAAGGTTGTAACTGGTTATTTTTAGAACTTGACTTTAATGATAAAAGAAATTTCACATAAGGAGTTGTGATTTCTTACTTACCTCTTGTAATTCATAAAATAAAAGTTGTAATTTGTAACATTATGAGATTTTGATCCGGAACTTAATTGCTAATAAAAGGTGAAATTAGTAAATGAAATGGCTAATTTGATTAATCATGTTTTTGGGTTGTTAACTAGTGTTTTGAATCATTGGACAATTCAAAGGTCAAGCTAGGGTTGAAGTTAGATCAAGTTATGTTGAATCAAGTGAGAAAATGTGAGATTGAGCTCATTGTGCCATATGTCATAGTGCTTGGCCAATTTTTGACAACAAAAAGTGTCAAAAACAGTCTAGAAATTAGAATAAAACTTAGAAAAAAGTTGGAGCTTTAAGGAGAAGAAGAAATCCTTTGCTAAGGCTTTCATTTGATCAAATATAGAAGCTTGTTTAGACCTTTAATCACTTGAGTAAGTTTACTAACTCCCTTCTCTACTTATTCACCTTAGTTTTCTTACATTTTGAAAAATGGGTGGCTAGGTTCTGAGTTGGAAGGGGTTATATTCAAACCCTATGCCTTGTATGTAGTTGTGGGAATTGATTTAAATTGTTTAGTGTTAAATAAGTGGTTGTATGTGTATGGGTTGTTTTGTTGAAGAAGTTGTATAAACCCTAAGTGTATTTTGGGACTGTTGAAGTTGTGTGAGCTGATTTAGGTAATGGGTTAGCTCTTTTAATGCTAAAAGGAGATTGTGTGAGTTGGTGGAAGCTTTGATTAGCTCAACAATAGAAATTATGAGTTGTGGGTAACTAAATTTAGTTAATGAGTACTTATGTTAGGTATGAAAACTAACATATAATACTTGTAATTGTAGATTTATATAATTTGATACTTTTCTAAGTCATTAGGACTATTGGAGAAAATGTTTTTGCTACGATAAACTTTTTTGGTAAAAAGAAAGTTAAGATAACTGGTTAATCATATTTGTTTATTAGCTTGTATGGTTGTTTACAAGTTAATTATGATGGATGGATATATGTATGTACATACATATGTATGTAAATGTTTTTTTTTTTTCAGAATTTGTAGAATGTGCATAAAGGGTTTTTATGACAAAAATGCAATGTGTTGCATGGTCAAATAACATGTGAAATTCATATTGAATATTTAGGAAAATGCAAAGTGTTACATAGGGAAATTGCATAATCAAGTAAGGATGGGAGGTCACTCTGGTTGAAGAGGTAATGAAAATTCATATGGTCATGTTATCACCTGGGATGCCCATGTTCATTGAAGAGATTCAATTGATCGATGTTTCTCTAAATCAACTAAAAGGTGGTTGGTGGGTTGGAATAAATGACGCTCCAATTGTGTGGTTTAAGAGAATTTGTAGCCTTGAAATTGTAAGGAACATCCTTGGTAGGTAGCTTTCCTCCACTAAAGGTGAGTTTGGGACAATTCACAAGGAATAGATCTTGAGGTAGCCTATAAATTCAATCGAGGAGACATGGATGTTTGGTTGGATATGGGATCATGTATGTGGTATACGTGATATTTGTGAAGTATTTATACTTGGCTTATGAAATATATAGCATAATATCGTGTTTTATTATGCTGCTATACTTCTTGTTTATAACTATGTTTGTTAATAGATTATATATAACTTTTTTTATTGAGACATTGTCTCACCTCATGAATTTGCATTTTTATAGGTTCTGAGGCTTAAAGGAGACAAAGGAAAGAGTTGGGCCAAGAATAGTTTGTTTACTTACTCTGTAATGCCTATATTTTAAGTTGTTGTAAATATGATGATGTACATAAGTAAAGTTGCCAATTAGGATACTACATATATTTTGGATGCATTCTTATATGATGTATTTTTGATATATTAGCTCTAGGTGTATGGTAATGGTATATATTTGTGAAGGGCAAAGATATTAGTACAAACATGTTGTGTATATGAATGTATTAATGTTGGAACTTGCATTTATGTGATTTTGAATATATATATGACAAATTGGCCCAAAGTGAATGTTGGTAACATCACTTGCAGTAAAGGTTAATTTTTAGTTGTAAATGTAAGATGTGGTAGATTTGGCCAATTTGTGATTTATTATAGTTATACCATAAATGGCTTGGTTGTGCGTGAAACAAATGCCTTAGGTGGCCAAATCTTGGATTTGAATTGTGTCTGTGTAATTAACTATTTAATCTGGTATGTGATATCCTTTTGGACTTAACTTAAGGTCTAAATTAGGTTAATGGCACAAGGTTTTGGACTCTTGGATGCTTGTGAAAATATTTAAAACTAACTTGATGCATCTAGGTGTCTAATTTTTAAAAGAATCATTAGATTGGAACCAAACTTGTGCGATTAGCTAGATTATCAAATTAGCTTCGTGTGGATGTTTGAATTACTCTGATCAGATATCAGGTGCAAAATTGACACAAGTTAAAAGTTCGTGCTTATGAACTACCTTGTCTTCGAAATGGTTGTATGTTACGTCGCATGGTGGACATGTCGTGGTGCATGGTACAAAGAGGAATAAGGCCTCTCTGTACCACAAGCTGCAACACAAGGACCATGAGCCACCAATTGTATGCTTGAAAATGCTGAAATTCCCTTTTTGGGCCCTATTTTTCTTGGGTTATGTTTTTATATTCTTCCATGCTTCCTTTACCTAAAATTGCATTTTAGTTTGAGCTCAAATTATCCATTTTCAAAGGGTTCTTGGGATTCTAATTGGATGTCAACTGATTTTCAAAACTTTATGTAAGTTAACCATTCTTTGATTGCAAGGTTAGGAGTTCAAGTCTTCTATTTGCCTTTGTTCGCTTTGATAGTGACTATGTGTGGATAAAGTCAAGGTAGACTTAACATGATTACTTAAATAAAAGTTATAATTGATTATTTTTAAAACTTGGATTCCAATGATAAAAGAATTTCATGTGAAAAATTGTGATTTTTAATTTAATTTTTACAATTTACAAAATAAAAGTTGTGATTTTTTAAGAAAAAATTATGATTAATTATTTTTAAAACTTGAACTTTAATAAAAAAAAAAATTTCACGTAAAAAGTTGTGATTTTTTTTATTCAATTTTTGCAATTCAAATAATCAAAATTGTGATTGCTTAAATAAAAATTGTAATTGAAACTAGTTATTTTCAAAACTTGTTTATCAATCATAATTTTTTTTTTTGAGGAAGTTGTAATTTCTTGTTTAATTTTTATAATTCATTAAAAAAAATTATGATTGCTTAAACAAAAGTTGTGATTGAAAAAAATGAAATTTGACACGTTATTTTTATTTTAACCAAGGGACAATTCAGTCATTTAATCTACAATCATTAATGTTAGGAAGATACCCAAGGACTTAAGAGGAATTGTAGCATTTTAAAGGATATGATTGTTATTTATATATTTCGGTGAGATTTTATTATCATTATCATTATTATTATTTATTAACTCTTTAAAATTAGTAAATAATTTTGATTTGAGACAAAGTAAATGCATAATATTCTCCTAAAGTAGTAATTAACAGCTTAAGTTGAGAAGCCAAAAACGATGAAAACAAACAAACGGAATTGGAAAAAAAAAAAAAAAAAGCAGAGAGAGAGAGAGAGAGAGAGAAAACCCAGATGGGATTGAGTTCCGTAAAGAATCCTCCTAATGCTGATAGTAAACTAATGCTGATAGTAAAAATAATAATAATAATAACAACACACACACAAACTAACTAAGGCCATCTTTTTCATATACAATATATCATAATATTTTTGCAATATAGTCGGCAACCCATTGATTGTGATATCTCCCTCCTCTGAAAGTATTTCAACTATTTTAACATCTAAAAATCTGGCATTAATCAGACTCCTAATCTGTGTTTTAATTTTTCCTATTTTAATGTATTGTTATTAAATCTTTCTCTATAACCGTTTTCCTTTTTTATGTTTATTAATATACTTTTGACTATTTTTTGGGAGAATTTCAGTAGAGGATTAGGGATGTGATATAATAATAAGGCTAATTAAAATCTTAAATTTCAATTCAATTTAGGAAGGTTGAAATGAAGTTAATTTAAGTGATAAAAAGACTGAAATAGCCTCCGTTTAAACATTAAAAAATTATGGTCATATTTATATGTAGTGTTGAGGAATTAACAATTAAAGTTAAAAAATTAATAACTAAGTTACTTCATAAATTTGAATAAACTGATTGGACAATTCTTCTCATTTTCTCAAGAATTAACAAGTCAAATAAATAATTTACAAGTGATAATGAAAAATTACCAAGTAAAGTTGTGATATTAATAATTGATGTTGTTTCATAAATTCAGATAAACTGATTGAATAAATAACTTATAAAACAATTTTGATTGTTAATTTTTTAATTTTAATTGTTAATTTTCCAACATTACATTTAAATTTGACCTTTATTTTTTAATGTTTAAACAGAGCCTATTTCAGCCCTTTCATAATTTAAATCAATTTCATTTTAAAACTAAACTAAAATTTCAAATTTTAATGGACTATATTTATTATTATTTCACATTCCTAATCTTCTGCTGAAATTCTCCCAAAGAAATATACGCTTGCCATAACTCAAGTATATCAAATCATTAAATCTTTGAGAACTTTTATGTAAATAATAGGAGTGTGTCAAAGGAATTATACTATCATACCAAGGTCCTCCTGCATTGAGTTAGATATTATATAAACAAAATAGCTATTAATATTATGTTTGTCAACTCTAATTTGTGTCTTTTCCATTCTAAAACTCCATCCATTGCGTATTTAAAGAATTTGATTTAATGTCTTGCTTATTTTTTATCTTTTACTCACGCAAAATTTTAACAAATTAACACAAGAAGTAACTAAATTTATAATGTTAATCATTATTAAGTCCTTAAAATTATATTTAAAAATATAAAAATTAATGTGTCTTACTTATTTTTTATCTTTTACTCATGCAAAATTTTAACAAATTAACACAAGAAGTAACTAAATTTATAATGTTAATCATTATTAAGTCCTTAAAATTATATTTAAAAATATAAAAATTAATGTTACAAGTAGATAAAATTTAAGAGATTTTGAGCAATGAAAGAAGTACAAGAACTAACACTAAACCGTTAAAAATATAAGGACGATCAGTTATAATTTTTCAAGAAAAAGTTGAGCCAAAATGGTTATAGGAAAAGATCTTTAAGTGATGCTAAAATTTTAATAACCACGAATTCATGACAAATATTCATCCTTAATTTCAGAAAGATGGATGCGTCCATAATTCAATCAAAGATCAAATTATAAAACATATATAGAAGAACCGTTTTTTTTTTTTTTTGTTTTTTTTGACAGAGTAGAAGAACAGTTAATAATGCGATATTTTCAAATTATATATTATATGCAACTTAATCTTAATAATATACTTTTAAGTTTTTAATTTTTAATATATATGCGTGCGTGTGTGTCTGTCTGTATGCATATATATTATAACGCTTAACTAGATGCCATGTTATATGATAAAACTCATGCCACTTTTTATGATTACGCATCAGAAAGTTCTTTCATCTAAACATGTTTTATTCTATCAAAATCTTTTTTGAGATAAAAATATCTAAATATAACATAAACTTAATTATAAACACAAACTACAATGACGTTTAAACTTACCTTCGAAGCAAAGTTGAGAGAATTTGGATCCCTTGTTTCATCATCTCAAGGATGAGTACACTACACCGTACTTATCATTGAGATGAAATCTAAAAAATTTGTATGATCCACATCAAGGTTGAGCAGCCTCTACACATCTTTACAGAAGATATGACCAAGTGTTTGAAAATAAAATCAGCTTCTAACCAAGACCAGGCAAGATAAAATTCACATTAACTTGACAATTTTGTAACATTCCACCGAAGTTCTACAGTACAGTTGCAAGTTGCAACTTAGAAACATGGCTACAAGTAAATCAGGATCGCGTTAACCTATGAATTTATATCCAATCTTTCAATTATTTCAAAGTGCATTTGCAAATCTGCAGGCCTATCAGCAAAATAATACTTCTCACATACTTGTAATTTGCCCCTACTCTTGTGAGCTTCAGACTCAAGGAGATGGAGTAACGTGTCCTTTTCCTGACGTATCCAAGCGCGGCGCTTGTCAGACCATTGTCGGGGAGTTCCGTGAAGCAAAAATCGAACTCCAAGAGCACCTTGCATGAGCCTTTTGGAGACTCCCTCAATCACATCACTGTTGGTTAAGTATGCACCAGTGGAGTTCAAACCGACATCAACATAATGAATCTCAGCTATGCTATTCAGAAAGGTTTCCTTTGTTTTTGGTACTATATAAGACTCATCAGATGCACAAAACTTTCTGTCAATTGGCTGTCCTAGCACATGGGGTGATTTTTCAGTGGCTCCAACATCGGATGAGCCAAGCTCTGTGACTAACTGATTAACTACAGTCCCACCTTTACTGAATCCAAGGATTATTGTCCTGGGATAAACAACACAGGATGAAGCTTCACACTGCGAGTGTGTGTGTGAATCTATCTGGCGCCTGAATACCGCCTTTTTTACCTGTATCATAGTGAGACTTGAAGGTCTTCCAGCATGCAGAAAACAAGTAATGAAATGGCAAAATTAATCCAGACAATAAAAATGACTCCCTTGTCCCAGACTTTCTAAAAATACAAAAAGATTATTGGTTAATGATTACAATAATATAATCGATATTACACAGAAGTTAAAAGGAGTATTTCTCCCACATCATATCCAAATCATGCCTTAGAATATGGAAGCATTCAATTCAAGCGGTTCTTGCATATTGCAAACAAGTATGAATGGAATATAAACTGAACTGCTTTCACTACTATTCCAAAGAAATTAACAAAAACAAAATATGTCTTTATGCATCATAGAATCAAGTGCTTATAAAGAGACCATTAACACAAACAAAACGCAACCAGCTTAGATCTGGATTACACTAGCATGTGCTTCTCATTCATATAAAATTTCCATCGTACGGTGAACCATGAATAATGAAAAAGAGGTCAGAGATAAAAAAAAAAAAAATAGTCCTTGACCAAAAACAAAAGAAAGTACAAGGATGTAAGGGCCTGTTTGGTTTTATTCTCACTTTTTGTTTTTGAAAACTATTTCGTAAACTAATTTTCAAAAATTGTCTTTCAAAACAAAACAAAATGAAAATCCGTTTGATTAAGCTAATTTGAAAACAATTCTAAAGTTAAAAAACTGGCCAATAGTGGATGTTGCCAATGGTTAATGTGATGCCCTATGATAGAAGTTGGCCATAGTTGAATATAATGTATAAAAGTCAAATATCGCGTGCTTTAAAAACAAAAGTAAAAAGAAAACGACAACAGCTCCAAGACGTTTCTATTTTTTTGTAATAGTTTTGAAAATATTTAAATCTAAAACACTTATCTAGACAAATTTTCATCCTTTTGTTTTTAAAAACAAAAATAGTTTTTGAAAATAGAAATCAAACAAGCCCTAAATCTTTAGGGTAATTAACAAACAGATAATAAACAAATCCTGGAATGAAACTACAGAATAATCTAAAATGAACAGAAATGGTGGAGCTTGTGCAGCATCATTAACATTTAAAATTACCAGCATAAATACAGCAAAAGTAGTCCAAAGATAAAGAGGGCATAACTTATAGTGAGGAGGGAGAAGATCATGGCATACTTCTTCAAGGGCATTTGATAAGAGTGAGACAGTTGATGTTGATGCTGGGAATCCAACTGGACTGTATAACTTTGGCTCTCCATATTGATTCACAGAAGGTATGAACTCATCGTAGACAGCAAAAGGCCCATTAAAAACAGAAGCCTCAATAACCCAAGCATTAATGGAATGACCAAATTTTGACACCAGCACTTCAGAAATTTTCTGCACATCTGATAGTTTCTCAATCACTGGATTACCAGTCCCTTCAACTCGATCACCACAGAAAAAGACTGCATTTGCTGATGGTACCTACACCAAATAGAAGATCTTCAGGTAAGCAATGCTAGCTAATGGAAATGAGCAATAATCTTTCCCGTGGTAGAAGAGACTTATGCCTGAAAACAAGAAAATATTGTGACCTATGTAATACCAATACGGCTATATGAACAAGAAAAAAATTGCAAGCTATGTAATACTGCTAAGACCAGCACCCCATTGGGCCCTGTTTATAAAAGAAGACAGCCCAAATAGATGAGAGCATTATGCCTGAAAACAAGAACATATTGCAACCTATGTAATGCCAACACAACTACTGATACATGGAAATTAGGAGTAAAAGGGTAGTTAGGGGATTTACTAATATCTCTATAAATTCAGGTTACCAGAAATGTATTCTGTGTCTATTGAATGATATTCTATTTTTAAGCAGCGTTTGGATTGGTGGGTTTGAATTTAAATTTTAAATTTAAAATCTTGCATTTCAAATCTCACATTTAAAAGTCATGTATTTAAAATTATTCGCTTGGGTAATTTAAAAAATTTCAAATGAAGAAGAGAGATTAATTGAGATTCAAAGCGAAAACAAAAAATTGAAAATGATAAGTTTACTTCTATTTTTCAATCCATAAGAGATGAGAATGAGATATAAGAAAAGATATGAGAATCATAAAGACATCAACAATGAAAACTAAAGAGATGGGACATTTGAAATAACAGGAATTTCAAATAACTAGAGCATAGAAAGAATTTGAAATTACAAAGGAAATATAATAAGAAAAGGGTTTGGATTTGATTCAAATCCAAATTTCATAAATTTTTGTGTATCCAAATGAGGGATTTGATCCAAATCCAAACACACCATTAGTCCTTTTTTTCTCTTTCTATTTCTATTAGCTCCGCATATCTTACATGATAAAATATGATACTTAGGATATGACAATTTTTTAGATTTTATGATATATAGGTAAGGGGCAGTACACACACACAAATATATAATTAGTTATGTACTCCCTCTGTTAAAAAATATAAGGTATTTTTTGAGGGATTAGATGTTCAAAAATATAAAGTATTTTAGTATTTCAATGTGTAATCACTGCCTTTTTTTTTAAAAGTATCCCTATTGAATAATCACCTTATATTTATTTTAAAGTAAAATACCCTATTACATAGAGGTAAATATGGAAAAATAGTGTTAGCTTGAAGACAAGTAGCTCCTTTATGTGCATAATCAATAAATCAACTCATTCTTATGATCAATAAAAACATCATTTGGCAAAAAGGAAAATTCAGAAGCATCACATTACTATAAACATACATGAGATCCCTTTTTTTTTTCCTGTCTCACTTTAAAAACACTAGAGGGTCATATTTTAATCTCAAACTTTGAAGAGATATGAATTGGTGTAAAGCAGTATGAATAGCACGCATGCATAAGTACAGAACGTGTACCATATCATATCTTGTATCCCATATAGGTAAATCAACATTAAAGAAGAATGTAAGCTTTATTACTTGCAAATAAAAAACTTTTGAAATTGACTGAAAGTGCACCCACATCAAAGTACAGTATTTTCATTCACTTTCCAAATCGAAGGAAAACTACCAAGAAACTCCTCAGTTCAAATTCAATCATGTTTACGGCATAAGACATTTTAGAAAGGAAAAAGAAAAATCATAAAGGGAAAAGAAAATTCATTATTGATAGACCACCAAACAATGAGAAACAGATGGTAAATGAGTTGCTTTTTTTTTTTTTTTTGGTAGAAGTAAAACAGGAAAAAAGCACGATTGAACTATGATAGCTTTCCTTCAAGTCAGTCACAAAGAAAATATTAAGATACCAAAGAACATAAAGAAGTCACACAATAGAGATAAAGTTCACGGTTACAATTACTATTTTTGCAATAAACATAGCTCGAGACCTACTGTTAAAGCATAGAAGATTCAAGAATAATAGAAACGAGAACAAGTTTTGAAGAACGAAGTGCTGTATGCTTTTAAAGGTTTTCAAGATCAAGGAACATACCCTCAATGTTTTGGATTCAGGCGAAAGACAGATAGATGCACCAACTCTATAGAAAGCCCTGGGGTTGGGATATAATGGAATCCTCAAAATTCCATTCCAGCGGGCCATGGATCTGAAATGGAGATTTATATACAATTAGAGACAGAAATCTTCACAGGTTTTCTTCAAAAATAACCTCAAATATTCCTTATTTATGTAATTCCCCAAAGAATTTCTTTTGACCTTTTTTTATGTATTGGAGGGGTTGAAAAAGGAATGGAGAAACTGATTCACAATAACATAAAAAGATTATCATTTTAACTGAGAAAACAAATTAATAACCTTACCATGCAGTTCAGATGATAAAATGTAAAATCCAGCTCTTAGCAAGTGTTTTATTTCCCAAGCGTCAAACTTAATTCACTTTCTATCCATTTTTTGGCTATTATAATTGGCATTAAGCAATTATCCCAAATTCTAGCATATTTTTTCATGGTCCCTATCTAGTAAGTGTAGCGGAGTTGTTAAGGGGCAACCTACAAGATAAGACCAATAGAGGGGAAAAAAGTTTAATAAGGAGGCACGACTGAAAGATTACAGCTTTCATGGAATATAATACCTGAACCCCAAGGCCCTTGATGGAGCGTGAAAATGAAAAAGGACAAGGCATTTAAGGTAATCTCTTTAGAAACAGTTTTGTCAACCCTCACCTTGAAGCTGGTTCCACATTTCATTGGATCAAATATTTAACATTCCAAGTGAGACACAAGTGAGTAAAAATCCTTTTTTTCCTGATAATTGTTCTCTTGCGTAATAAATTCATGCAAGGAAAAAGAATCATGAATCACAAAGCCTGACTGTTCATGAACTAAAACGTTGAGCTTCACTTGTTTACATCTCTCCATTTGACGAATGATTTCTGAATAAAGACAAAGAAATTACAGATTTGATCAAAGGAACAGACATTCCATATAATTTTATGAACCCAGAAAAAAAGCTCCACTCAACAAACAAAAACGTGCTTTTTTCTCATGTCAGTATCAAAATAAAATTTTGGCTGCCGTGATGGCATTTGCAACAGAAATCCTAGTAGATATTGAGATTGGACTCAGGTTGCTGGGGCTTAGACATGAAGGTGGTGGTTGAGTGACAGTGGCTGAATGAAGTTTGAGTGAGTGACTGACAAACTATTATAGGAGGGTGGGTGATTGAGCCTACATAATAGCCTAATCATCTCTCAACCTCATGATCATTACCAAAGCCTCTGCCAAATCTGTACAAAGCTCAATGTTGCTAAAATTATGGTTCCACATTTTAAGTCCCTCATGAGTGCCAAAGAGCTCTGTAATAGTAGATGGATAACTAACCAATTTCATCTGGAAGACCATTACCCATCCACAATCAAAAAGAGATATCAGTTTCAGGTGCTACTTGACACAATTACACAAACGAACACCAAAAACAATGGACAGGTAATCAAATGAGCAATTTCGCGAATAGTTCAATACTAGCAAGGTTAGAACTACCAGACATGTCCCATATGAAACAATAAAATTCCTATTTCCCAGTCACTGAATTTGGTCAATGACAAAAAAAAAAAAATCTCATCCCAATACACTTCCAAGTGCAAAAGAAATGCCTACAAAACATCCAATAATCAAATAGTGAGCTCCACATGTTCTATATAATATTTGGCAGAATCTCCCCTGAAAGATAGACCTTGCAATAATTTTACAATAAACACAAAGAGCCTCTAATCAAACTTACAAACAATTTCAACCAAAAGCTATGCATAGCTCATCATATATGTAAATATTCCAAGATTTATTTAATTTCATCCACTAGCAAGGTGGAGTCATCATATTAAAAAAGGGAAAATTAAATGCAAGTTCCACATAAAGAAATTAATTAGCACAACGTCCAATAACAACTGAATTAAGACAATTCCTTGATGACTTCAATCACAAGTAAAATCAGATACGGTAACTAAAGATAACCTAATCAAAATGTCAGCCAGCAAGTTATTCAAAATCTTTCCCAAACTTTAGCAAGCTATCAGATTGAGGAATGCATAGAAGGCCCATAAACTCCCAATTATCCACTCAAGAAATTGTGGGAGAGCACTCGAAGTGAGTACAATATTTCATAATGGTTCCCATAAAAACGAAGTCTTTTTCCCAACAATATGAAGCACGCATTAACATGTGGTCAAGAAAACAACACCCAATGCTCACAATTGACTAACTCCCATTTTACAGGATGATCCAGGAAATAATTCAACACTGAGAACTAACTTGGTTGCCTTAGAAATCAATCTTGAGAGAATCATTAAAACAACAACAGTCCATCTATTCCCGACCTCTGTCTAATTTAACAAAGAACTATCGCCCGTACCCGAAGTATCTCCTCGGTCGCTTCTGTCACGTCCGTCAAGTCTCAGCCGAAGGCGATGTTGCTTGATCTTCCAAGTCGTTCAACTCAAAGATTCCCTCTTTTCCGTCAACTCTGAGTCACCCACCGCAGCCGCCAAGTTCTCATTGTTGTATCCAAGTTTAGTTTGGGTTCGGAAATTGTGGGTGTTCGAAGAGAAATGATGGAAGAGGGGAGAACGAGAGTTCAGAAGAGTAGGGAATCAGATGGCCAAAAAAAAAAAAAGAGGAGGAGGAGGAGAAGAATAGTTGAGAATCAGAGAGAGCGAGAGCTTGACCCGGCGGGAGCCTTGACTGCTGAAATCAGCTTGCAAACTTCTCATGCATTTCCTTTTTAATTAGTAGAGGTAAAAGATAACCATATAAATGAGCTTCCTTCGTAACAAACACGAACCCACAGTATAAGAGAGTCCACATGCTGTTTGCCACAAAACTGTAAAAATAATGCTTCAATTTATTTAGCAAAATGCTCACATTACAAAGGGCCCGATAATTATTAAGACTAAAAATAGGAGATTTAGTGCCACAGATTTCATGAAAAGATATTTATCTAGTAGACATTTTATAAAAAGTTAAAATTATTTTACGTTTGCTTATAATAATGAAAAGTTGTTGTCATTATTATTTAGATTTTATGATAGATTCATAAAAAATAATTTATCATTTAATTATTTAAACTTTATATGGTATCTTTGAATGTAGGTATCCAATTATTCTTAGAAACTATTTAAAATAACCTCTCAAAATAATCAGAAATTTATATTTTTTTTAAATTTTGATCATTTTCAAAATTTTAAAAAATATTATAAATTTTTACAAAATACATTTAAAAAAAAGTGATATTTTCATTGAAAAAAAAGTTAAAAAAATGGACTCAAAATACAATAAAAATATTTATAAAACCAAATATTTGGGCCTTAAAAGTTTTAAAGTTCAACTGAATTAAATTATTGTTAATTTATTTATTGAGGAAAAAACTAGAAGCAAACTAGTGGAAAAACAAACAGACAAACAAAATCTAACAAGACTAACCTATATTTCCATCATCAAATCCCATCGTAGGAATAAAGGATGGCTTTTGATAAAAGAAACAAAAGATATTAGATAAACTTTAGATAGTCTAGCAAGAGAGCAATGGCCAAGAATATTAGACTCCCTATGTATAAAATTTAAAAAAATAATCCAATTCTTTTAGCAAAAAGATCTAGCTTCATGTCTCGGAAGAGAAGAGTAGGTCACTCTCTTTGGTGATTATTAGGTTGATTGCTTCAACGCTGTTCATATAAACTTGAATTTTCTTGAAGCCTCTTATCCAATACAAGCTCAAATCTTGAATAAGTTTAAATTTTTTTTAAAAGATTAATCTCATGGCTATTGATAATAAGATTGCTTGGGACTTGAGTTAACCAAAAAAATATTATTTTTTATTTTTCCAAAAAATTATTTATTTTTCATTACTCCACTTAATTACCATAAAAGAACCAAATTTCTAAAATTTTATAGACATTTATTAAAATTGGTAGCTTAAGTTATACTTCATCCAAACCACAATATAGATACCTATTAACTAATTTATGTTTTTAAAAATTAGTTAAAATTTTGATCTTTTAAAAATTTTCATAACTTTTCAATTGTGCACTTGAGAGTAATAAATATAACATTTGATATATTCAAAACATTATCATTAAATACTTAATAAAGTAAGGGTATAATTTGAAAAAATATATAATACATACCCAATGCTCTATATTTTAAACTAAGTAGTAAAGTTTTTAGGAAACTACTTATATTATAGTTGAGAGGGAGTATTCTAAAAGTTTTAAGAAATAAGGTAATAAATAATTAACTTACAATATATTTCGCATTGAATAAATATTGGTTATGACATTGATGTTAGTTTTGTAAACCAAACCAATCACCAACACTGTTCATTGTCCTTTGTTTTTTTGGGGGGGGGGGCTTTGGTCGATTGATTTTCCATCTGGTTGGTTGCTTGGAAATCATAAGTACATAACTAAATTTTTTTTCAAGAACAATCAGAGCTTCAAAATATGCATAACCTCAACATCACATTAACAACCCAACAAGAATTTACAAAAGCAAAGACAAAAAATCTTCTAAGAACCTCACAGTACTACATGGAAATATTACACACTCAATATCTCACAAAATTGACACCAAATATCCAAACATTTTTGGATTTTTCACTCTTCTCCTCATATTCAGCTTTATCATATTGGCCATTATTAAGGCTATTTGAAACAGGAGAATAATTAGAGCTAGAAGCTTCTTCTAATGCACTAGCTTTGTTGTTTCTTGGCTCAAAAAAAGCTTGAAGAGACACGCAGTAATGGAGAAGCTGGCGATATTCCATCCACTGGCATTCTTGAGTTGCTTTTAGTTTTCGATAGTGGAGAAGAAATTGAGTTGGGAGTAGTTTCTACACACAATTAAATCCATTATCATGTTAATGCTAAGTTGACAAATAGATTTATCAAATCAAAAGAGCTAATATGGGTTGAAGTCTCTCTTACTAGAAGATGGAATATTAACAAACTTGAACCTTTTGTTCTTTACTATTATTGGATGAGAGTTGTTTTACGGAACCAGAAGTAACAAAAGGCTCTAACTCCCATGGTGAAACCCTTTCTGGCCTTGGAATTGTGGAAGTTTAATTAAAATTAAGATAATGCAAGTCATAGAAGAAACATTAGGTATGTAATTTAGAATAATAATGTTAGACCTTCAATGACCTCCATTTAAAGTTCGGTCACTCTGGAGAGAAATCTTCAACACCAACTATAGTACCCACGAAACTGATCAAAAGAATCGTACAACATTAAAACACCAATCTTTAATGAACCATGACACCATCTAACAATTATTACGACTCATATAGATATCTTATTACAGCTAAGTCATTGCCCTTAAATCTCATCTTGAACTACATGCCAATAGAAATCTCATTGTTCACTGTCTCTAGATATTTGTCCAAATGAATATTGAACTGACTAATCCTAAATGACGTTGTAACCAAAATGTACACAAGCCTAGCCTTGGTTTGTAATAGACCATAAACATAGTGTCGGTCATAACAACATGTGAGGCAATTGCAAGAACTTCGACATGCATGCATTGGTTTGAAATCTCAAATGACTAAATAGGACTTTGTTGGTCTAATCAGATGCCTAACACCACACATTAGGTCCTTACCATTTGCTCCTCTACAAGGATAAAAACCAAGAAAAATTGGGAAACAAATCATGGGATTAGGATTCGGTGATTGGCCTAAGTGTACTTACCCAAGGGATATCTCACATTTAATTTAACCGAACAGTTGTAAGAGATTTTGTCATATAATAGTTGGTTGTAAGAGATTTTATCATATAATACTCATTACCGAATCTCAATTTTTTGAAAGAACAATATATGTGAAAAGTGCTTTAATCGTGAGAATTGTTTTACACTTTTTAAAGAAAATGTATCTTTATAATTTTCAAATATTGATGAAATCTAATGGTCATAATTAAAACGCTCATTGAATGAGTGGACATAATTCACCAAATTCAAATTTACAAAACCATAATATGAGGTCATAGGCACAAATACAAATAACGTTAAATACCTAAATAACAAAAAAGCGCCTCCCACATTCAACCTTATGGTGGAGAGAGAAGTGCTCCACCCAAATTTTATAAGGTGCCTTTTTGGTTGACCTAGTTGTTCATACAAAGAAAGAAAATAGAGATGAAATTGTGTTTCATAGTTTTTATCCTTACTTGTTTTACACAAATATTGGTTTAAACATGACAAATAACCTCTGTATACAAGTTTAAACTTCCAGTCAATGCCATGGATATCCCTAGCAACCAACTCTTGAGTTGGAGTTATTTGAGTCATATCCTATAACATTAACAAAGAAGTGAGAGGCACTCGATAATGAGAAAAAGTTAGAGCCTATAAATCATGTTAATCGTATTTCTATTGAAAGAAACCATGATGGGAAATACCAATTGAGGCAAGCACTGAACAGCATGCTTTCGTAGGATTGAAAATCCTCCATGTGGTGCTAAAATCAAAGGTTGTTAATATTTTTGCAAATGAATGCATTTTTGATTTTGGGTTTTATTTGTAGTTCGAGCTGAAACTATTATATGATATTGAATAAACACATAAAAAGGCACTTTTTAGTCTATCAGGTATCTCAAACAAGAATGAGTAACTTGAAAATTTATAAATGCCTTTAATGAGCAAAATTTGATTTAGATCTTTTTCCAATTATTTTCTCATTAACCTAACGAATCGGATAGACCTAAGGTAGGAAAAAAGAGGATAAAAAATAATTCTCACATCTGAATCACATAGCAAAATAATTCTGCAATATACTTCATTTGTGTTTGGCTTAGCCTACAAAGTACCATGACAAATTCTCATATTATATAAGACTTATTACAACAAGACAAATAACAAAAAAAAATCAAACATCAATAATGCCAAAAAGTTGAATGTCCAAAACTTTGCAAAGAATTTGGGAAGGAAGATTAAAATGCGGTATTTTGTGGTGGAAATCTTGATTTATCACAAATTTTAAT